CCCCTGACCCCCTCCTGCTCCGGGGCCTCTGCGTGGGCGGGGCCGCTGTCCCGTCCGTCCGTCCGTCTGTCTGCGGGGGAGGGGCAGAGCGGGGCGGGCGGGGCGTCTCAGCTCTCCCTATGACGGGCACACATCTGCAGCTGGCCCTCCTCCCTCTCAACAGCGCGTCGCGGCAGCACTGTGTCTTTTTGGTTTTGCAAAGCGCCGCGTCCACCCCCGGTGCTCTATAAATAAGAACCAACAATCAATACCCGCTGGCCCCCCTGGCCGCCAGGGACCCCAGCCCTGAGCGCCCAGTGCCACCCTGGCCCGGACCAAACACAGGACGGGCAGAGGATCTCAGCAGCCGGACCGACCCCACCCACCCCGACGGAGCCCTCCACCCAGGCCTCCCTCCGAGCAGGCGCCCAGCCCGAAACAGGTGGGATCTGGGCTGCCCTCCCCCGCCCAGTGCCCCCAGCCCGCAGGGCCGCCAGTCACCCCTGCAGGGAAGGGCCAGTCCCTGGCCTGGGGGGGTGGTCCTTGGCGCCCAAGGAGACTCAGGTGAGGCCTCCAGTGGGAATGTGTACCGGGAAAGGCACCGTGAGGGTCTCTGAGCTGTACCTGGACCAGCTAAGGGGCATGTGTGTCTGCTCTGGGCGGGAGCAGGGTGAGCAGGACTATGACGCCCTCAGAAAGTGACCTGTATGGCTTTTGTGCTCCTCTTTGTCCTTTCTGCCCCCAAAGTGCTGTCTGCTGGGCATACCCGCTTCCAGGACTGCCCTGCCCGCTGCCCTCTGGTCCCAGGCTCTGCTCTCCTCTCCCTGCACCCCTGGGGGGCCCTGGCTCAGACTCTGCCTGCTTTCCTGGGCTTGGGCGGCCCAGCCTGTGCTCCAGCCCCGAAGACCCTCACTGTCCATTCGCTGTCCCTGTGCCAAGCCCCTCTTGGGAAGCAGAGCAGCCAGGCCTCATGGGCCCCTCTTGGGGTACCCTGGTGTCTCCGCCTTGAATTCCCATCGCTCTGTGCCAAGTCCTGTGCCCTGGAAGTGTGCCCTTCTTCGCATGCACTGGGGCGGGGGTGGAAACCCACTTTCTCCAGCGGGCTCTTGGCCAACTGGCCCCAGGACTTCAGGGAGTCTGCTGGGCTGAGGGCTATGCTGGCTCTGGGTGCCCCCCCACCTGGGACCGGGGTGCCCCTAGCAAGGCTGGGTCCATTTTAGGAGCTTTACGTCCAAGTGTGCACTTCCAGCACAGTGGCAAGGTGCCCAAGGCAGAAGGGAGGGGATTCTGGGTTCAGGCAGAAGGCCTGGCAATGACATGGGCCTCTGGGGCGGGGCTGGGGTCAGGAGCTGAGGTGCTGGTCTCCATGGAGGCCCCCCTTCCTGGGCTTCTGTTTAGGAGCCTCAGTGCCCCAAGCTCTGCAGGCCATGGCTTTCGGGGCCACCCCCCTCCCCTCGTTCTCAGACCCCCAGGGGCTGCTGACACATCTCCTGCAGGGTCCCTGCTCAGCCTAGGGTGGGAACCGCCCCCTCCGGTCCCATCCACTCCCCGCCTGCCGGTCCCCTGTGGCTGGGGCCTGTTCCAACTCCAGGCCCCAGCCGTCCACCCAGATGGAGCCAGGCCCGGCCCCCAGCCCCGGCCCACACAGAGACCACATGGAGGGGACGCACAGGCATGGCTCTGGTGAGACACGTGAGACAGGTGTCTGGGTGGCGGGGCCGGCAGCCAGACAGATGGACGGATGGGACATCACAGCCCCCCCTCCACCTCCATGGACGTTGCAGGGAGGGAGGGAGGGGCGGCGGGCCCCTCTGGGAGAGGCCGAGAAGCTGACGTAACGGAGAGGTGGTGTGGCCTCCCGATGCGTGAGGGGCCCGGGACAGGGCGGCTCTGGGCTCCCCGGGGCCCCGCGCATGGCCCCGCGGTGGTGAGGCTGACTGGCTGACCAACGACATGACACAGCTTCAAGATGGCGCATGGCGTCATGGCATGGGGGGGCAGACTAACGCAGAGACACATGGGGAGAGAGGACCCGGTGGGGGCCAGTGGGAGAGGGGGCCGAGAGAGAGAGGCCTGAGGGTCAGAGAGAGAAGACCTAGTGTGCTGGGCAAAGAGAGATGAGGGCCGACGGCCACAGCGGTCAGAGGTGGGGTGGGTGGGATGACGGGGGGGCACGCCTGATGCACGGGACACAGACACGGAGGGCGGGGCGAGAGAAGAGTCGGAGACGGGGGGCTGGGCGTTCTTCCCCTTACCGTGTCTTTGGAGGACCTACGTCTCTTGAAGCTGGAAGCCAGGGTGGAGGTGATAGCCCTAAATGTGGCTTTCTTTTTAGGGTCGGGCTCTGCTCTACCACTCTTTCTATCCTAAAATGAATATGTATAAGTGATTAGATGGCTAAGGCTGGCGGCCACACCTGCCCTCGCCTGCTCCTTGGGGGCTGCTGCCCGGCCTGGCTGGCCACTCAGGCACTTGCTCCTGCCTGCCTCCCTGTGCTGGACCAGTGGACCGACAGCCGGACACGCACAGGTGGCCTCTGCTCCTGCACGGGTCGGGCCTGACCTTGCTTGTGCTGGGGCTGGGCTTGGGGGCGTCCCGTCTGGCTCTCTTCCTGGGAGGTCCGCCTGGCTCCCTGGCTCCTGGGTGGCCCTGGTTTACAGGTGTCCCAAGGAGGAGGGGCCCTCCGAGCACTGGAGGGAGTCCCCCCTCAGGCCCGCCAGCCATTCTGAGGGGGCACACCAAGATTCAGGAAAGGGCGAAAGGGCCGAAGGCGGGTGTCGAGATGAACCGGAACGGTCGTCAGAGGCGGCTCCCGGGACCAGGGTTGCCCTGTGCCCGCCAGTGAGAGCAGCGACCAGGTCCCAACAACAAGAGTGGGCAGATGAAAGGTGTGGGGCGCCAGCCACCCATCCGCCCACGGCCCTCCCTCTCTGCAACGCAGCTTCTGGACGCGGGCTCTGGGGAGGCACCCAGAGAAAGACAAGAGATGGAGCAAACCGGATTCGGACCGTGGGGCCGGAGCCACGGGCCTGCACGGGCCCCACTGCCGCCCTGCCCCAGGTGGGCTGTGGCTGCTTCACGTGCAGCTTGTCCCCTGCTGGCGGCAAATTTCCACAGACACGGCCTGGGGCACCCGGCAGGGCCGGCTGGACCGCTTCAGACTGGAGCTCTGCAGCACAGGACACAGCAGGGCAGCGGGGAGGGGGCCCAGGGGGTGCCGAGGAGGGGTGTGGGGCGGCGAGGGTAGATGCGTCTTGGACTCACGTGCTACCCAGGTGGGTCCCTGTCTTACCCTGCCTCAGTTTACCTTCCTATGGGATGGGTGCCGGCGGGCGGGTCTGGAGACAGAGGGGCCAGGCGGAGGCTTGGAGCAGGGTGCGCGGCCTCCCGCAGCCTGGCTTTGCCGTGGGCAGCCACCTTCAGGCGGCCCCCGACCAACGCTGCCCCTGGCCGTGGCTCCTAGCTCCAGTCCTGCTCACATGGGGTCCCGGAGCCAGGGCCAGCGCTTCGGCCTGCGGGGGTGGAGGAGGGCCCAGGCCGGGCCATGGGCACCAGGCCACAGAGGGTGGCCTGCCCTACCTGCAGGTTCTTCCGCCACACGTTCACCGCTGCAAAGGCCAGCTGCATCTGCTTCCGGCGAGCGTCCTTGTGCCGCTTGTAGGCAATCTCGATGAAGATCAGGAAGATGCCAGCCACAATGCCTCCAGCCACCAGCATGAAGACCCCTGCGGGCCAGGACCCAGAGCCTCGGCTGTTGGCTGGTGGGGCTGGAGGGCCTCTGGAGCACCCACCCAGGGGACGTGGTAGGGGAACAGGACCCACCTGCCATGTTCTCAAAGGTAAGAGTAGCAGGGGCATTGCTGCGTGAGTCACACTCCTGGTACCGCACCCAGGTCTTGTCCAGGTCCTCCATGAAGCCGTTCTCATGGGACCTGGGAGGGGCGGGACGAGTAGGGGTGGGGCCTGAGCGGGACTGAGCGTCTGAGTTGGGCGCTGCCCAGGTGGAGCGAGGACGGGCGTGGGGCCCGGCCTAAGCAGAGCAAGCGAGTTGGGTGGGGCGAGTGAGTGGGGCGGGGCCTGAGTGGGCGCAGCGAGCGGAAGTGGGCGGGGCCTAGCAGTATCTGAGGACTGCGCAGGTGGGGTCACCTGCCTTGAATGGAGTGGTTCTTGGAGAGCAAGAAGGGTTCTTGGTGGGGCTGCAGGTAAGGCAGACTCACTTGAGGATGGACAGGGAGACGTTCTGCTTCCAGGGGCTGTCCTTGCGCATACCGATGCCGAAGCCAGAGCGGAAGAACAGCTCGCCTGTGGTCACCAGGTCGCACTTCTGCGAGGCCTCAAACTCCAGTACCGCCGAGTCCCAAATGAAGGCGTGCAGTTTGCTGCGGGCAGGGACAGAGGTCACCGGAGCCCTGCACGGTGGGGCTGCCCTCCACCGGAACGCTTGCACTCCTTCGTCCCGCCAGCCTGGAAACCTAACGTCCATCCCCATCCGGTGGTTCCCATCCGGCCTGGACACACTTTTTCTTAAGGGTGGATGCTCCCCGTTGTCCAGTTAGCCCTTCACTAGTCCCGCAGGCCCCTCCCTCCCTCGTCCCGCACGGCCCCTCCCTCCCCTTTCCCGCACGGCCCCTCCCTCCGTCGTCCCGCAGGCCCCTCCCTCCCTCTTCCCGCAGGCCCCTCCCCCCCTCGTCCCGCAGGCCCCTTCCTCACTTGTCCCGCACGGCCTGGATGGCCTCGGCCGCGCTCTCGTAGTTGTGCTTCTCCATATGCCGGTACATGGTGCTCAGTTCCACCTGCCGCCGGAAGTAGATGTCCACCGAACTCTGCTTCACCGTCGCATAGATGAACTTGTCCGAGGGGTTCCTCAGCTGCAAGATCAGAGGGCGGGGCTCGTGGCTACTCCCCAGCCCCGGAGACCTCACGACCCTCGTCCCCAGCCGGGATGGGCCTTACCCGCGGATCGTTGATGCCGGTGATGCGCTCCTCGGGCCGGTCCAGCACCAGGAAGGCCGCCAGGTTGGCGGTGTAGGAGGCCACGATGATCATGGCGAAGCCGGCCCACACCATGCCCAGGATGCGCGCCGAGAAGCTGCGGGGGGCGCCTGCGGGCAGAGGAAGGTCAGCTCCGGACTCGGGGGCGCGCGGGCAGTCGGCAGCTGCTGGGCGTGGCCTCACCTTCTCCGATGCCGGAGTTGAGCAGGACACCCCAGGAGAACCACATGGCCGAAGACAGTGTCAGCGCGTCCTCCTCCTCCTCCTCGCTGTTCACCTTGAACCGGCCGAAGGGGCTGCAGGGCGCAGAGGGCGGGTGGGAGAGGGCGGGCTAGGCAGCCCCGCCCCGTCCCTCCCCTGTCCCGCCCGCCCCGCACGTGGAGGTGCTCGGCCTCCGGGCCGCGCTCACCTGAAGCGGTCCAGCAGGTACAACATCACGGCCACCACGTGCACCGACAGCCCCACCAGCAGCCACAGAGTGCTCTGGAAGGGCTGCATGAACGAGTCCAGCGTACTCCGGGGGATCTCCTGCGGGTGGACAGGCCGTCAGGGTCGCCTTGGCCCTCCCAGAACCCAACCCCGCACCCTGCCCGGCCCCTGCCCACCTTCTTGACCAGAATGGTCAGGCCCTGGTACTTGAAGGGCTTGGAGAACTCGATGTACTGTGCGCGTTCGTTGTTAATGGTCAGCGGCGCCACGATCATGTCCGCCTGACCGCTGAGCAGCTCGCCCATCATCCCGTTCCACTCCTTCTTATTGCTGTTGTTCACCTGCGGGGGCGACACGGCCGGTGGCGACGCGGACACGGCTGGCCCCACTCCCGCTTCAGGCCCCGCCCACTCTGGGTTCCGGCCTGCAGGCCCCGCCTACCCAAGGCCCAGCCCCTAGCGAGACCCCGTCCACCCCGACCTGTCGAGCGCTGGCTCCCAGCGATCCCAGCGTACCCGCTCCTGCGTGCCGAACTTGCCATCGGCCACCAAGTGCACCTCGTACGTGAAGTTCATGGTCCGCGCCAGTTTGATAAGCAGGTCGATGCAGAAGCCGTAGCAGCACTGAGGCACCGTGTGGCGGGCTGAGGGGGGAGGGGCGGTGACTGCGGGACTCCCGGCCGCGCCGCCCCGCGCCCGCGCTGCACGCTGCGCGCTCCGGCCCCTTACTCACCGCTGCCCGGAGACGTGTCGTTGGGCCCGGTGCAGATCACTTTCTTGACGGGGTCCCCGTTGACCGTGAACTCCTCCTTGCACGTGCCATCACTCAGCGTGGGCTTGACATACACGAAGGGCTCCTGGTGGATCGTCACGATCTGGGGGAGGAAGCAGAGACCCAGCCTGGACCACCTGCCCCCGCGGCCCGGGGCGCTGTCCTCTTCTCAGCGCGCCAACTCCCCTGAAGCCCCTCCAAGTCCCCGACGTTCCCCCTCCCGCCACTGCCCTCTCTGGAGCCTCATGCTCCAGGGACAGCCACCAAACGCCACATCAGTGTCACCTGCTTGCTGCCCCCAGACTCCCCAGACGGCCCACGCTGCCTCAGCATTCAGAAGGCTCATGGCCTCCTGAAACACTGCCCTTCTCTTGGGCAGTGTTGCAGGAGGCCATGAGCCTTCTGAATGCTCACGGCTTATTCACCACTCCTTCCATGAGAGGAGTCTGGCCGGCACCCTGTCTGACTTCTCAGGGATGAGGAACCTCCTGTCCCAACCCCAAGCATGCCTCACGAGGACAGGGCCATGCCCACTGACATCCGCTCAAAGCCTGCATGGGACCTGGGGACCAGGGGTCACTCCCGTTGGATCGCCCAGCCTCCCCAGCAGTGGGTCCTTGTCTGATCACCCATCCTTTGTCCCTCCCTCCCTCCATCCTTCCCCTGCTGAAGCCTTCCTCTCTCCCGTGCCTGCCTCTTCAATTCAGGGCTTCTTGGGGCTCATGCTGGGGTTTTTTCTCCTCCCTGTCTTTCAGGGTGTGGAGGACAGATCATCTCATCGGGCAGAAGGGGCTGAGCCCAGCACAGCATGCCGATGGGGTGGCAGGGAGTGCTATTGGAGCTGATCCTGTAGGGAGCTGGTACCCATGAGAGGTGCCTCTGCGCAGGATGGGGGTGGGGAGGCAACCCACAGCCTCAGAGGGGAGGACAGCATTTTGGCTTCCCCCCACTTGGGTTTGGGGAGGTAGGGAATGGGGGTGGGGGATGGGGGTGTTTGGAGCCCCTGAAGGTGCCTATTGGCTTTTTAACTTTCACCATGTTTTTCTATTAGACGAAGAATATGTTTGGGCTTTTCAAAAGGCAGTGAGAAAAAAAAAAAGGAAAAAGCCATCTGAATCTGGCAGCCTGACGGTAGCAGGCGTGACTTTCAGACTTTTCAGCACGCAGTGTGTGCACTGCAGGGTGGGCTACTCTGCCCGTGCAGAAGGTCCTGATGAGGCCTGGGAGAGGCCACAGGCGGGCCATGAGACACTGAAGGGCCTGGGGACACCAGAGGAGAAGGTTGGTTGGGCATATTGCATTTAGGGGTCTTGCCTTTAGTGATCGAAGTTATGAGCCTGGCACCTGGGTGGGTCAGCATGGGGAGGGACACTTGAGAGAGCACCCCACGTGGAGAGAGGGTCCCAGGAATGAGCCCAAGGAGCAAGGAAGAGAAGCTGTGAGGGATGAGGCCCCAGGGCCCAGGGACAGGGTGCAGGGGGGAACGGCCCGCCACAGGGAATGCTGCAGGGAGGCCAGGCCTGGAGGGACGGGACCACGCAGTCGTGACAGGAGGCTGTGACGGCTAGGGCCACCTGGAGGAGTGATGAGGAGTGAGGACCAGGACTCGGGACGGAGTGCTGAGGCTGGAGTCTACAGAATGACCACCCATCTGGCCCTCTGCCCATCAGCTCATCCCCAGGGGAGTCCTGTCCTACATGATGGGAGTCAGAGGCCTCCTCTCCTCCCTCCACCTGCTCCCTCTGCTTCCTCTGCGGTGCCAGGTGTGTGCGAAGGCGGCCAGGTGCCGGTCCTGCCCGCTTCCTTTAGTCACTTTGGCCTCACTGTGCCCTCCTCTGAGTCTGAGGGGATGGATGGTGTCCTGGGTGGGGGTGCTGGGGCAGGGTGGAGCGTCCCCCACCTTCAGCCTGGTGGACATCTGGTACCCTCGGGGCTTCTCTGTCTCTCCGCCTGGCCAGATGATCTTCCTGTCATTGGGGATGACCTGGGGGTGGGAGTATGAGATGGAGGGTGGCCACGCAGGGGTCTTGGCCCCAGGACCCTAAGGCCCCAGCCCCCACCCCCTCATGACCCCCACCTACGTGGGTGCCATTGTAGATGCCCACTTGCACCAGCTTGCGGTTCTGCAGGTTCATGATGCTGTAGTTGGCAAACTTACGGTCCCCGTCCTCATTGAACTCCACACGGCCGGTCACCCCGTCCGCGTACTTGGAGGACATCAGCACTCTGGGGAGAGCAGTGGGTTTGACTTCTCAGGGACACTCCCCAGCCTCCTGCCCCCATCCCAGCAGACACCAGGCCCTGGAGCTGTGAGTCTGACGGGCGGGTGGCATGACCGTCTCTGTGCACCAGATGGACAGCACAGCTATGGCAGCTGAGCGCCTCCTGGGCGCCGGGTCCTGTTTCGAGGGCTTTCCGTGGGTGTGGACGTTCGACCCTCATAGCAGCACGGAGGAGGCAGACGCTCCGGAAGGACACAGTGGTCCATTTGCCAGCGAGGGGGGAGACAGCATGCAAGTCCTGTCTCGCTGCATGGCACATCTGTGTGTGTGTGGGGGGGCACACCCATGGGGTCCTGTGCGCACACGTGATCCTTGTGTGGTGTGCACCCCAAAGCATGCACTTGTGGCATGCGTGTATGCCTCATGCCTCTCTGAGTCTGTGTGCGCATGCGTGTGCATGCGTGCACACAAGCTGCCTACACCTGCAGTTGTGTGTGTGCAGCTGTGGCACCATGGACTGTGGCTCTGCACATGCCAGTCAGCCTAGCAAAGGGTGAGATTGGGGACGGGCTGGGCCTGCCCACCCTGGTGCCTCGCATCCTGGGTGCTGAGAGTTACCTCCTGCCCCCCTGCAGCTATCCACTCGGGTTTCTGGCCCACCCTGGCTCTCTGCGGACTTGGGTGCCATCCTCGGGCTTCTTGTCTGACCTCCTGGGTCTTTGGAAGCGCCCGGTCCCCATCTACAGCAGAAGCCTCATCCCAAGGGCTGCCACCCCACTGCGGCTCAGTTTCAGGGTTGGCTGTAGTGTTGAAAGCAGTGGAGGCAGCGACAATCGAGCGTCTGCGTGAGCGCCGGAAACCGGGCGGAGGATGACCACGGTGGAAGGGAGGTGGGGAGGCGGCTGTATCTGCCGTTTGTGCACAGCGGGCCGCTCTGGACCACCCGCTGAAGAGCGACTA